GGCCATATATATATATATATATATATATATATATAGGGGATGGACAAAATAATTGGAACACTTGTTAAATTCAAAGAAAATTTATTTAATATGGAGTTGGTCCTCCTTTAGACTCACAGACGGCTTTAATACATCTAGGAATGGAATCATACAGCTTCCTGACTTCATCCAGGGGAATTTTCAGTCATTCTTCCATTAAAACCATCTCCAGGTCTTTACGACACGACGGTGGAGAATAGCGGTTCCTAACTTGTTCGTCCAAAATGCACCACAAATGTTCAATAATATTAATATCTTGAGATTGGGGAGGCCACTCCATGTGTTCTAGCTCACTTTCATGCTCTTCATACTAATTCTTAACCACTCGAGTGGTATGTATTGGAGCATTTAACTAATTTGTACTTAAAAATCTACTGAGGAAGAAAACGTTAACAATATTAAAAATCCATGGAGTGATTAACGCGTATATATCTCTTAGGTTTACATATATACCTAGATATATAAAAATATCAGAAAACTATCAGATTTGTATATCAGTTATTTAGGAAAACTTTTTACCTACATACCCACATACACATATACCAACACATGAATAAAGTTTGCTAACACAAATTAAATGATCAAAAAAATATATAGAGAGCCCCACATAAACACAGACAATGATATATATATAGAGATAATCATATTTATATAGTAAAGGTAACAAATCCGTTGGTATATTATCCAAGTTAATCCTAGTAATATAAAATATTAAAACTGTTCCCCTAACAGCTCTCAATATATTTATTATTACAGAGCAACTGAGTTCATGTCACAAATAGAAATTAAACTGTGAAAGCTAAGAAAAAAAATGGACGAAATAATAATACAGAATTTACCCATATCAATGTTACAGTCAGACGAAAGGCGCGAGGCAGTGTTCAGAGGAGGATGAAGGGTATTTGTCATAAAGGGAAGAGGTTTTATAAAATTAAACCCGGATATTAACCTTATGATATTAAATTTGGGTTATATGATGAACGAAATATTAATTTAAAACTAAGATACGAATAAAAAGGGTTTAAAAATAACTTTAATTTTTTTAGGCTCACCGAAGTTGAGCAACGTCGGGCATGGTCACTATCTACATGGGTGACCGCTTGGGAAATATCAGGCGGTGTAAGTTTGGATGTGCGGGGTGGTGTAAAGGATAATGGCTCGGAATTTTTGTTGGGTTGTTATATTCACTTATGAGCAAATATCCTCGGAAAGGTGTTGGGGAAGGAATTCACGTTCTCTCTCCCCCAGCTATGGGTAAGACGTGTATCACTAAAAGATTCTGATCTAAAAAAAAATCTATTACAATCTAAATCTAATTTTCTAGCTTCGAAAAGGTTAATAAGCCGTAAAAGAATGCGTCCTGGGTAAGACGATAAACTACGTCCTGCAGCAAGGTCTCTGATCAGGAGGTTTTGAGGAGGTAGAACCACCTCTTAATAGTTGGTGTTACCAGGTACATCCTGACCCGGGAGTGGTAGCACCTGTTAAGGTCCCAGCTTTGGGCAAATAGTTAACCCCCAAACTGGAGTCAGAGCACTATGATAGTGTAAAAATAGGTTTTAATACCAAAAATACATTTTTGTAAATAATTATTGCCAAAAAATGAATTTTGGAAGAAAATAATTATTACCAGCAAAATACATTTTTAGAAAAAATATTACCAGCAATAAAAATCTTGTCGGCATTAAATAACCAATTGAGATGTTGATATGCCGTAAAACAAAACAAACCAAACCGTAAAAGAACTAATCAATAAATATTTGGAAAATTCATTACCAATAAAAGAAAAAAAGATTGCTTCGTGCAGGATGGAAACATTTCGAAAGAAATAATATACAATTCTTCGACCTTTGATAGTTTTAAGATTGTCGAGTGACAACAGATTTAGGATGTCTTCTTGTTTTCCAGCTGAAGTCAAGTTAACTGCTTAACTTCCCAACATTGTTATCAGATCAGCTGTTTAAAAAGCTCCCCTTCATTGAAATAACGATTCTTTTTAGTAAAGTGTCGACTGGGTTCAGGTACATAAGCTGGAAATATATAAAGAACTGCAATAAAAACAATTTAAGGAATATTTTGTTACTTCTAAAAATTTAAACTATTTTAGAAATCACTATTTCCTGATCGATATAGCGGGGAGGGCGAAACTTGATAAATGTAAGAGCCACATGCGATGAAGTTCAGATGCTTGAGATCCGCAAAATATGAACAAAATTTACGCATACGTTTTTGTTACATACACATTACATTTAAACTTAGGTTTTAATCCAATGGATTCTCTATTCATACCCAGGGTAGGACGATAAACTACATCCAACAGCAAGGCCTCTGATCGGAAGGAGCGTGCAATCATCTCTTAATTGCTGGTGTTGCCAGGTCCACCTTTACCTGTGATGGTAGCACCTGTCACAGCTACGGGCAAATAGTGAACCCCCAAAATGTGGTCAAAACAATACGAAAGTGTAAAAATAGGTTTTAATACCAGCAATACATTTTTGTAAAAAATTATTACCAGCAATGAATTTTTGAAGTAAAAATTATTACCAGCAATACTTTTTGGGAAAAATATTAGCAGCAATACATTTGTGAAAAAAAATATTGCCAGCAATACATTTTTGAAGGAAAAAAATATTACCAGCAATAAAAATCTTTTCGGCATTAATTAACCCATTGAGGTTGATATGCCGTAAAACAAAACAATCCAAACCAAATCATACCCAATAAATAATTATACAGCTTGAATTTTTTCTTATTTACTTTTTATATTATCTGTGATTAAAAAGATTAGCCAACATATTTCCACGAGCTGGAAGTTCAAAGAGCCTTACGTGACACACGAGACATGGTGTGGCCACCCCTCCCATATGGGAAAATTAACAGCTTCAAACACATCTTCACTGGTTTCAAACTTTCCCTAAAAATATATGGCGATACAATCAATGATGGATGACTTTTCTACGGTTACCGGACAGATTCCTGATGTTTGCGCACCACAGCCATTTCCATACCTTAAGTCATTACCTGAAGATTTTAATAAAAGCGCTACTGTTGAGAATTTTGAGCTCGAAAACATTTCGGCAACATTGTGGTTGGTAACATATATAAGCCACCTAGATGCAAAGAAAAGTTTTTTCAAAAATTATTAAGTATATATATATATATATATATATATATATATATATATATATATATATATATAGTAAAGGTAAAAATCCGTTGGTATATAATCCAAATGGATCCTAGTAATATAAAATATTAAAACTGGTCAATAAAATGAGCTCAATGTATTTATTATGAGAGAGCAATATAGTTAATAAACAATAAAATGCAAAATCACCACATATATGCCTATTTCCGCTGACGAAGATATCAGTCGTCTGTCTTATCAACCCCGGTGTGGACTGAGTTCGTGTCAGATATATATATCCAATTTGAATTAAAAAAAGAAATGGTATTCAATTTGCAGCGTAAAATAACTAGTAACAAAAAATTAATTGTATAACCCTTAGATATGAAAATAATACTAAAGAGTTGTATACCTTGAATATTACCTCCCTTGATAAATGATTTTTTTGGGGGGGTACAAATTTTTTGTAGATTGTTTTAAGTTACTTCAAAGACAATATTTAGATATTTATACATAGTTGTATTCAACCACATATGGGCTATTTTGTTCCACTCCCTTTCACCGTCTTTACGGCAGCTTAATTATTTCATCCTCTGAGAATTTGGCATCTTTCTTGGTGATGAACTGGTTTGAGTGATTTTTACAGGCTTCCAGAGAATTGAAGTTCTTCTCCTTAAGAGAATTTTGTAAGAAATAAGTGTTAAACCGAAGGAACAAATTCAGGTAAGTATGATCGATGTAGTAGGATATCTCAGCCTGGTTGTACCAATTTCTGTCAGGTCCACAAAAAGATGTTAGGCGTTGCCCTGATGGAAGGTGAGTGCATTCCGATTGGCCATTTTCTGCAACTTTTCCTTGATTTTTTTTTAAGCGTTTCACCCCAAGCAAGGCGGGAAGCCACTAGCAGGCAAGAGGTTACAGAGCGTTGGAGCGAGAGCAAAGAGGAGTGGTAGAGGAAAGGATGAAGAGAAGGTTAGGGGATAGATCAAGGCATCTGGAGACGTTGATTGACATTACTTTTGAATAGTTGGAGATTATAGCTATCAGGGAAACAGGAAAAGGAGAGAGCTTTCCACAGGGGAGAAGTGCGAGACATGAAGCTATTGGAGTAGAAGGGATGGCTACATTTAACAGTTTCGACAGTGAAAGGGTGAGAGCGAGATGCCAGCCTAGTTGAGCGCTTAAATTCATCAGAGAACCAGCGAAAGCAGCTCATCGGAGCTTACTGCCTTTAATCATTCCTATTGGGAACACTACTTGTCTGACATTTAAAAGGCTGAGTGTTTGTATGCGTGTTCACATATGATAAAGAAGAACCATACAAAAATCTTGGGTTTCTACTACGAATTGTTTATTCTTTTTTATGGTAACTATAGTGAAACAAAGTTCTAAATGCCTCTTGTGTATATCCATTTACTTTTTGGGCTCAGAATTAAGTTAGGGTAACTAAGGATGAAAATGGTTAAAATGGTTGAGCTCAAGTCAGCTTTGCGCTGAGTTGGAACGACCAAATTAGATCTATAAGACACGACCGAATGTTGTCCTTGGAAAATGGAAAGTGAAAGTCATGCGTCAGCGTACTGGGGAAACTAATGTGCCCCAACGGGACCGTCAGTCTTCCACATATTGGAGCAACCGGGAGAAAGAGAGTGAGGCAGTAAATGTTTGTATTTTTATAGATTTAACTAGCGCCGCCTAACGGCGTTTGACGAAGCCAAATGGGCTAATCATATTTCCGGTTCTTTACACTTAGGATTATGGAAAAAAATTGTTTTTGTTTTTTTTTATTATTTAATATTATTATTTTATTTTAATGATTTTATTTCATTATCACAAAGAGAAAGAGAGAGTGAGAGAAAGAGAGAGAGAAAGAGAGAGAGAGAAAGAGAGAGAGAGAGCTGGACTAGATAAAGTTAAACAAACATCTGTACCTAAAATATCTTGATTGGTCCGAGAACATTTCTGTATCTTTCCGTACATATAAGTTGAATGTGACGAGTTGCTAAGAGAATCGTATACATTTTAGTTAGGTACCTCGTAGGTCACGTAAAAAATAAACAGCATAGCATGATGACAAAAGGCCCCAAACTCAATAAAAGCAAGATGTTGTCATCAAAATGTTTATGTTATTATTAAGCGGAAAGACCAAAGTATTTCTTTCATGTTTTTTTTGTTTTTTTTAATTGTTTTACTCCTGTCTAGCACGTTCGAAATTTTGGTTAAAAATCTTGTTTCTTTTTCTTTTTGTTTTTGTTTTTTTGTTTGTTTTTTTTTTACCACGGCGGCGAACTAGAAACAAAGGGTTTGTTTTATTTTGCGCTTTTTCCGATGAAAACACACACTGATTTGGAAATTCTTGCAAAATTCAAATAATTGTCGGATTTTAATGAAACTTTCAGATATGAATAAAATTATTTTTGAAATTATTATTTTTTTTTTTTTACATATGCTACCACCCACTACATAATTTCATGAAATTTCGAGAAATTAAATTTTTAAGTGGGGGATATTTTTATTAGTTAAAAACAGGACTCTTGTCGAAAATCTGCCCTGAATTGTAAAATAAAAAATGCAATAAAACTATGACATTATTTAATAAAAAAATCTTTTAATTGCTGTTGTAAATAAGTTATATTGAGGACATTATTGTCTGAAGAAATAATTTTTTTTCGATGAATAATGGATTTTTACAAGAATTTTTTCATTTTTAAAAAATTTTAATTATAATAATATAATAGTTCAAAAATTATTTAAAATTATTCATTGCTTTCAAGAATGCAATTTGATGACATTGTTAAATGAAAAGTAAACTTACGAAATGAAATTTGAACCTGAATATTTTTTTAATAATTTTTAGTGAAAAAGCGTTCCTAAATTCTACCTATGGGAATCTATACATGACATAACCCTTAAAAGGTCACGTGATTTAAGTGTCGTCTGACGCACTGCAATTATTTAACTTTTAATTCAGTTCTATTTCATCATTAACGTCTTTGCAAATCATCCCTTCAAGATATCAAAAAAAGTTTTACTTTTCTTAATTTCTATTTCACTAAATATTATTATTTTGTGTATTTATTTTAGTTTGGGTCATATTTCAATTAATTAATTTCTTGTTTAAGGTAGTAACCTTAAGAACCTAGAAACGAAATGCAAATTTCATAAAACTTCTTAAAAATTTAACTAAAAGTCAATAAAATATTAAATAATTGCTGAAAATATGTTAATTTGTAAAAATTACTAGGTAGTTAAAAACTAAAAAAATGCATTCATTTAGTTTTCGTAAATATATAATTTTTGGTCATCCATAAGAGTTGTCATCACCTTAAGTCCTTCTCCATAAATCAATAAAGATCAAACAAAGAGGAACCCATCGTTAAGAAATGCTTGTATATTGTTTTTTTTATGCTATAAGTAAGTAATATTTATTTCAAATCAGATTAATTTAACTTTAAATTTTCTAATTTTAATCAAATAACGTGTCACAAATCCATAATTTAATTTTTAAAGAATTTAAAACCCGATAAATGTGTTTGTTTACAAATTTCTTAAAAATTAAGAAAATGACCACTTTTAAGAAAATTTTTAAAAATCGAGCAATTTTTTGACATTCCAATCTATATAATTTCTATCTGAAATACACCAGAATATTTTACTTACTTGAAATAATAAATTTAATCATTTAGCTTTCAATTAAAACTAGAATGAAATGTTCAAGAATGTTTTTTCATTTTTAAAATTTAATTTTAAAACTTAAGTATCGAAAATTCAGTGAAGGTGCCTTATTTTAGTGGTCAGTGTCCGTGTCCAACTATTGGTTCGACATTGAAATGTTGATTTTCAAGTCATGCAAGCAAACCTCACTATAGAAATTGGCGCAGCATAATCATCCTACTACAAATAAATCCACTCATCTTATATTTGTCCTACTGAATTAAACTTCGATCCTATAAAGCTTTTTTATTTATGAATTTATCTGTTTATCTCCACTACCCGATCTGGGACATACTGGCTTCTACAAGGGACATAATTCCAATTCGTACTCAAAAGTTATGTCCCTTGAAAATATATGCGATTTTTTTTTTAACCTTTGTGTGTGCTCAGTATGTTAGATTTTATTTTGCAAGCCAATATTTTCACAATAACCCTGGAATTAACCACACAATTTTAGCACATTTTGAGGATATAATTAATTTTATTTAAGAAATAAAAAGGGTGTCTCAAAAAAATTGACATCATTTTAAAAACAATTATCTTGAAAACTACTAAATCTAGCTTAATGAAATTGAAGTTTATAATGGGACCGATTTCATGTGTTCAATATATGCTCCGCCTGTGACACGGCACACGTCAAGTCGGTAATTAAGATCTTGCCAAACACGCTGTAGCATGTCTCCGGTAACATTATCAAGTGCGGAAGTGAGTCTCTGGTTGAGTTCATCAATGTTAGCAGGAAGAATCGGAATTTAGCTGTCCGCTACCACTTTTTCATCAATGTCGATTTTCGTGCAAAAAGCGGATCACAGCTTCATACATGTTTCTGAAAACCTGAACTTCTCATTGGACAATAAATATTAAAATTATCTCGTATATCTTCACGTGCATTGTTCTCAATAAGCAACACAAAACATATCAGGCTCCAGACTGAGTTTTGTAAGGCGCTTTCTGAGTGGTTAACAGATGTTAAAAAAAACAATTTACCTGCTCACCACTACGTCCGAATAAAATCAACCTAGTTTTTGACCTGACGAAAAAACAATGCTCTCGGGATCCTGTCACATGATTAAAAAACATATAAATTGAAGGTACGAGCGAACCCAGTCAGTGAGAATTTACGACGACTAGAATTTGCTAAACGAGTTCACGACGCTTGTATCATTACTGCAGCGAAGTACAAAGTTAGAATCTCAAGTTCTTTAACATGAAATAACTTCACTGAAATTCAGGCTAAAATTTCAATGAAACAACTCACTCACCAATTTCTGCAACTTACTAAAACTATTCAATCACGTTATTGAATCTTACGAAACTTAAGCACGAACAATACATTCAACTACGAGCAACGAAAACAAACGGAACATTCACTTCTCCAACTTCTTTAAAGCTAAAAGTTTATCAACATATTTTCAGCTTTACAAGATTCTTTAAACTCTCTTTCAGTGAACATTTTGAGCGACAAGTTAATTCAACTTTTTTTGTGAGCTCCGATAAAAATATAATTTTAGTAGTAAAGAAAGACTTTACCCCAGTCAAAGGAAAGTAACTCATTAATAATTCATGTAAAACCGTTGACATTTATAAATATAAATATTGTACCTGTTATGAAAAGTTATTTTCTTGTGATTTTTCTCTTGTTTGCTTTTTGTTTTCTTACACATTCATAAAGTAAAAATGTGCGGGTTGATTTACGCCGTCAATACCACTACAGGAACATAGACCAGTCGCTTCACATAACCACATAAAAAGAAATCACATAGGGACAGGTTCGGTTACCGTAGCGGCCATTTCATCAGAAAACTGTCTTCATCTCCATCACGCCAGATCTATCTCTCTGGCAGATTCTCATTAAGATAACAAAAATAAAACATTTAATATAAATGGTGGATCTGTTTCAATATATTCTGCGAAAATTTGAGGTCATTTCATTTCAACATGAACTGCCAAAATTCTTTGCCTGCGAAATGATGTCAAATTTTCGGGGGTACCCTGTATATTGTGAGTCTCTAGTTATTATATCTATCCTTATTAAAAATAAAAATTGATAATAATTTGGGATGACAGATTTGATTATAAAACTTGCTTCTTTATAAATAGATCTATAACATATAAGCCATAGAAACATATATTTAATTAACATAATATCCCATGAAACTTAATAATAATTATTTTATTATATTAAATATTAATAAGTTTTCACGGGTTTGACTTAAATATCATCTATAGCACTTGTTAAAGCTTTGCATAGATATCCTTTATTTGAATAATGTTTTCCAGCTTCGTTTACTTCTCTTTTAATGATCGTTCACAAGTTTTTATTAGATTAATCCCAGGAGAGGCTTACAACGGTAACCTCAACGAGGACAAGAAAAGTGGAAGTGCCAAAAATGGCGATAAGAGGTAGTTGAGATAGATAAAAGAGTTTGATGCGGACGTGTGTCTCTTGAAATGCCCATAACAAACATAGCAGACTCGGAGTACGAGTCCACCTAAAGAAATATAAAGAAATGACAAGAACCAATGTATATATATATATATATATATATATATATATATATATATATGTACAAACAATGAATGTGGAAACATTTTGGTCCAAAGTATGTGAAGTGAGTGAATCTGCGTACGTATGTGTGTATGTATTGTTTATGAAAAGGGAAAACGCGATCTTCCGCGAGAGATTTACATGTTGTCGTATAAGCGGAAAAGTAAGAAGAAGGGAGTGATAAAATTTTATCGCAGAATATTAATAATGCCTGAGAGCGCCCCCTAGTAAGGGTTTCGAAAATTAGAAGTTGTTAATCCGATATTATATGAGCAAGAAAGGTATACGTTTTAAGTAAGGAGGATAATTCACGAATAGTCATATTGGTGAATGCGACAAGTTTTTTTTAATTTATTTCCCGTGATTCACAAGCTTCAGTCATTTGCTCGTTAACCAGACATCGTATATCAGTTGTAGGAGACCAGGCTGCTGGTTTCTTCGCCGGTCAAAGTCATCGCTCTTGACAGAATTGCCTTGGTGTCAGTGCTGATGTCCTGGGCAGTCGTATAGTCTTCCGCGGTCGGTTAAGCTTTCTTGCTGTGGAATTCATCGCTATTGCTAGCCGAGTCGAATTTGCCTTCGTGAGTGAAATCAGCGATGGCTTTATAGTGAGTGGCTCAGAAATGGCTGCTTCGT